CTCAAAACTTGTGTTTTTGTATATGGAAATGCATTTCCCTATATCTAGGAAACGAACCAAACAGCCCCTGAATAAAAATGATTAGTGAGCTTAGCTGTGGTCTAACGATCCTATAGAGCAGTAGGAGGTGGTGGAAAGTTAGGGGTGGCAAACGATAGAATCGAATCGAATACTAAGATGTTCGTATTTATATTTGTTTAAAATTATCGAATTCGAATGCGGACTCTAATATTCATATATCCTGTTTTTCGAATTCGAACTCAAATACTTGGTATTTGATAAATATTCATGAATATTTACGAATACTCATCGAATATCAAAGTATATTTATTCTGCTAAAAAGTTTTGATTTTAAATAATATTAAATTTTATAAATAAAAATTATTTCTTTATAATATATTATGTATATATTTAAATCAAAATTATAATTAGAAAATAGATTTAAGATTATTTAAGTTTAAATTAGTATACAAAACTTAAGTAGAAATGGTAAGTGAGTTAAAAATATGACATCATATGTGCAATAATACAAATAATAAGGTGTGATCAAATTTTAAACGAATATTAATAGACAAACGAATTGAATATACATATGGTTAAATTCTATTTGTTAGTAAACTCGAATACGAAAAAATATTTGTTTAGTGATAAATGAACTACTGAATCGAATATGACCGAATAGTTATTCGAATAACTATCAAATTATTTGTTAATTATTTAGTTCATTTCCTCCCATATGGAAAGTTATGCAATAGTATTTGATTCATTGCATTAACCTTACAGAGAGAGTGAGTTTTTTTTTTAACGAAATGGCACTGTGAGGGCTAAGTTGCATACGCCGTCCTAGGCGCCTTGTGCTCATCTCAGGAATAATCAATAATAATGTTTGGAAAAATAAATCTGCATGCTACTGAAACTATTTATACTGAAGCAAAAGTCATGCCTCATAAATCTTAAATCCAATCAAATCTTTAGCTAGAAAAAAGACGAAACAAGATCAGTAGACTCGAAAGCTTCAGTCCAGACCATCTATTGTTGGGGATGCACAATCCCCCTGATGCGATTTGGAAATAGAGGTTTAGGAGAGAAGAGTGA